CCCCCCACGCTGGGCTCGTTCTCTCCCCCCACGCTGGGCTCGTTCTCCTCCTTGTAGCCGCCCTGCCACCTAACATTCTGGAGCACGACGATGCCACAATGCTGCCAACCACTGTAGTTCTGTCCAGTTTACCAGCTGCCCTGTCGCTGAGCCCCAAAGTCCTGCTCCAGGCCCTAAATGCTGCCTCCACTACCAAGCTCTCTCCAGAAGGGAAGTAAAAACAAAACTATAAAACTAAATAAAAGAGGGAAAAAAAATGAGAAAAGAAAAAAAAGGATAAACTGAAGGAATGGATGAGCCCCGTGCTCAGAGCCTGTACGCTGCCTACTCCGACACCACCATCAGCTGTGTTGGTGTAAAATCCCGATAAATTTATGAATGTGAGCTTCCATTTGCAGTGAAGCATCACCCACGCCACTATGTGCCCTCAGATGCTGTTGCCTTTTGGTTTTCCTCCCACTATGTGTACTGTGAAAGGTTATTTGTGGCTGGCAGCAATTGATCTGGTACACGACTGGGCTTTAAATAAATGCCTCAATGATTAACCACCAAATTTACTGACTAAACACTAAAGAGGCTGTGAAGCCAGATCTAATGCAGGGACCTGTCTTGTCCAGTCGTATTGTCAGCTGGGATAACCACAGGGTGATGACTCAAGTTTGGAAAAAGCCACAACCCTGGCAGTCCAAAGTAAATTAGCCACGTTACATGCCACAAGGTTATGCAACGATGCACGCTTAGGGTCATAAGCACAGCCTGTACAAACAGCTCACATGCAAGGCTTAAACAGACAAGGAGATCTCAGCTATCTTTCCATGCCTCGTCACAGTCAGACAATAGTCCTGAAAATATGGAAGTACTCACTGGGTCACAATATCATGTTCAGTTCAAGGGGAAAATTGCAACTCATGCTGAAAGTGGAATCACTTTTTGTAAAGACGTACAGATTAAAGGAGACATTGTTGGTTCGAGATGTGGAATTGTCTTTTCCTAAGACTGAAGTACAGCATGTATACACCATTTCAAAATCGAAAGCCAAGAAATCCAATCATTATGGAAAAGGAATTGCTTACAGAAATGTGTACAAGAACCACAAAGAGACAATCAGAAGAAAGAACTATTCCATTGGGAGGGTGAGAGGCTTTGTTTCAGACTTCTTCCTGATGGCAGAGGCATCTGCTGGTACACCACAGTGAGCATACTTTCAAAAGTGATCTACATGACAAAGCCTTGGGGATTCCCTCAGTGCTGTGGAATCATATATAAAAAAATGCAGACTGAGGAGAATGAGAAGATCTGTCCACATTGCAGTCAAAAACCTGCCAGCAATGAAACATTACGTTGTTTGGTGAATGTCCTACCAATGTCCTTACTGTGAGAAGACATTCAGCAACAATGACAAATTAAAGATGTATTTTAGGATACACATGAGGAAAGAAATCTTGCTGAAATGCAACATGCAACAAGAAATTGGACCTGGATGAATGAGCCGAACTTATGATCGTTTTAACTTTCACATGTCACCGACCATTTGTAAGCTGTCCACACCAGTGTCAGAGCTAAAGCAAATGAAATTGCAAAGTGACAAGGTGAAGCAAAAGCATATTTTGACAAAAGCACAAGTGCTAAGAAATCAAAATCTGAGATTAATTTTGAAACAAACAGCCAAATCACATATTTTCCGAATCAACTCACTCAGAGGTATTGGCACAAACTGCTGAAACAGATGGGACTTGAACACAGGTGTCCTGAGCTAGTGGTAGGGACACTGCTGCTGTGTCACAGAGCCTCAAATGATGCTATCCTTTTTTCAAAAACAACTGGTTCAGCACTGTTATGACACATCTCAGGAGCATGTCCTGGCAATTTGACTGTCTTTAGTCATATGAGTTTCTCAAATACTTTGTCCCGCATGCTAGAAAATGTTACAATGACTTTCCTCCCGTAAGCACTTTGCTTATGTTATCTTAAATGTTCATTGTGTCTTCCACCAGAAAAACTGACACAGAACATTTTTTTAAATGAGCTGGTATTTTCCTATTACAGGCAGTGTGGTGGCTCAGTGGTTAGCACAGCTGCCTCACAACATCAGGGACATGGGTTCAATCCCAGCCTTGGGCAACTGTCTATGCGGAGTTTGCACCTTCACCCTGTGTCCGTGTGGGCTTCCACCAGATGCTCCAGTTTCTTCCCACAGTGTCCAAAGATGTGCAAGGTAGTTAGATTGGCCATGCTAAATTGCCTGTAGTGTTCAGGGGACCTGTAGGTTAGGTGGGCTGGCCATGGAAAATGCAGTGTTACAGGAGAGGGTAGGGGAATGGGTCTGGGTGGGATGCTCTTCCAAGGTTCAGTATGAACTTTTTGGGATGAATGGCCTGTTTTCACACTGTAGGGAATCTATAAATAAAATTACCAATCCTGAGTTGTGTCATTCTAAGATCTTAAATATATTTAACTTTACCTACTCTCTTTTCGTA